AAGCAAAACTCTAGGGTTTTAAGGGGGTCCGCGTTTTCAGAGGGGGTTGGTTTTATATAAGGATGATTTCAGAAACCTCCCTTGAGGTTTCTAACAATTTCATATCCTTCACTGAAATTTTAAAAATATCACTTACCTCCCTTATAAATCATTTGGAACCCAATACTTACATCATGAATGATCAAATGACTTTACTATCCTCGTAACTTAGGAAATATTACGTATTTATATGGAGAGAAACAATTTAGCCACTTGTACTTAATTAATATGTTTTTGAATATATAAAATTAAAAATTTTGAATATTAAATTTGATAACGATAATTGTTAACATTTTAAAATTCTTTTTCAATATTTTAGTAGTTCTTGTGATTTCTTTCTCTTAAAAAAAGATTAAAATTCCTATTAAAATTTATTATTTCATAAATTTTTCATAAGAATAACAAGATGAATATAAAAATAACCAAAAAGAGGGTAAAGTATTAAAATATGTTTATAATTATATTTTATTAAGTTATGGATAAAATGTAACAGAACATAATCTATTTTTTCCTTTCATTTCCAAAATATTTGGCGAATGAAATGAAAGCAATTCAAGTTTGACAAAAAAAAAATGAAAGCAATACAAAAAAAAACTTATAAATGGGATAATTTATTGTCTTGTATACTTCATTAAGCTTCCCACGAGAGGCTAATTTCTCAGAATATAAGTATAAAAAAAAACATCCGCCAAATGAAACTCTGACATGGGGTGTTTCTCAAACTACTCAGCATGGCAGCAAAATAAATTTTTTATTCCCAATCTAACAGGTAAAAGTCAATCAGCCGCTGCAAAAATTTTAGTGAGGCTCAGAAGATGTCAGCCGCTACCGTGCTAAGTGTGCATGGCTGCGACTAACATCTTGGGAGTCGTGGCAGAAGTTTTGTAGCTGTTGCCGTGCACAGTCAGCATGGTAGCGGCTGACATCGTGCAGCCGCTCCACCAATTGTTTCAATCATGATGGCATGAGTTGCAAGCCTGCAGCTGCACTATTACTAAGTCTACTGGCTTTCTCAGGCTCTTGGACCGTTTCAAAGCCACCAAAAATATTTGTTTAAAATTGATTGAAGAATTGGATATTCTGAGGTCAACTTCCCAGCAACATATTGCTAAGGGTTAATTCCACTTTGTCCTCCCAAATTTTAACTGATAACCCACTTCAGTCCCTCAAATTTAAAATGAGACATTTAAGTCCCCAAACTTATAAATACCTCCCAATTAAGAAAAATTGTTGACAGAATCCTAACTGCCGTTGGTGGTCAAAGAGTGTGGCAAACACGTTCCGTTAATGAAGATTGGGGAATGTTGTTATTGAAAATTTGTACATGTGTCGAAAAAGTAACTACTGCTATTTAACACTAATATATTTTCCATAGCAGCCCATCTCAATCCAGCACCACTAGCTTCTTATACTCCTCACCAGAAATTGCAGTCTCCATGACGGCCTCTGGGTTCAATCCTCCATTATCCTTCAAAAATAGACAAAAAGATAAAGCTACAAAACTCCAAAACAACTCATCTATCCGAAGGCATATGCTTTAGGCACTTTGTTTTGAATGCCAAGATGTTGTGGCAGTGACGGATGTGGACAGAGTCTAGACAATCTCATGCATGGTTGGGCGGGCAGATGGATCTTTCTTTAAGCAACTAGCAATCAATCTGATGAGCAAAATTGCAAGTTCGGAAGGATAATTTCCTCCGAGAGAAGAATCTATGATCTGGCTCAAGTTCTCGATCTCGTCTTTCTCGTCAAGCACAGGGCTCAGAATCTTTGCCAAGTTCACATTCACAGCTTCATACAAGACAACGACTTCTTTGCCAGTGCCTAGTCAAGGCAAACTGGCCTCCTTGCCCATCTGCTGATTTTGCTAGCCCAAAATTATTGATCTTCGACCAGAAATCAGCATCAACAAGAACATTGCTGCTTTTTAGTTTTTTGTGCATGTGGGGAGGGGAAGTGTAGCTATGAAGATAATTAAGCCCCGTGGCCACATCCAAGCCAATTTGTAATCTCTGCTTCCAATCCAGACACTTCTTTTTTTGTTTGCCCTTGGCGGTGACTGCTGTGACGATGGCGGAGGGGGCTTCACAATTTGGGAACTGGATGGCGAGTTCTGAAGAGGAACTAAGAGAGTCGTAAAGGGATAAATATTAAAATTTTGTTCAGACAATCCATTGGCTTGGAGAGTTTTCCCAGTATCCACCCCAAACATTGAGCTAATCGCAGAAACGTATTGACCCCAAGTAATTGAATAACTCAACAGATATTTGACGCCGTCGTCAGCTTGATTCTTAGTCAGCAACTTCGCCACCGTCACCATCATTTAAAGCCAGCAATCATTCCAGTGCCGCGGACGCCGCGAAGATTGCAAATCAGCTTAATCAGGGGATCGAAATCCCAGGCGAGTTGAAGGCGTTGGGTAAGGGACTCTAGCGGGGTATTGGGAACCACGTGAAAGAAAAAATCCAAACAAGTGTTGCCGTTGGAAAGAAAGGTTACCGAGTTGTTTTCGGTGAAGGCCATAGGGGGACTGTCGGGGAGGGTGGTGAGGGTGTTAAAGTTGGTGACCATAAGGTCCATGAAAGGGTCCGATTTGGCGGAGGAGGAGAAAGGGGGGGGGGGAGAAGTGTGGTGAGAGTGATCGTAAATCTCTGGTGGGCCGAGGAGAGAATTGAGGTTAGAAGCCATATTGGACGGAGACATTGTTGATTATGAAGAAGAAGAAAAAGGGGTTTGTGAATATTAGAGAAGGCCGGATGAGGTTTTCATTGTTGCCCTCGGTCAAAAGCTGGTGTTTGCCACGTTCTTCGACCACCAATGGCATTCAGGATTCTGTTAACAATTTTCCTTAATTGGGAGGTATTTATAAGTTTAGAAATTTAAGTGTCCCATTTTGAAGTTGAGGGACTGAAATGGATTATTGGCCAAAGTTTGCGGGGACAAAGTGGAATTAACCCTATTGCTAATCCATGAGACTAGGGAAGGGTCTGTACAAGAATTGCACTTAATCACATCACATGCACTTTTTTTGAGAGGTTAATTCGGTCTATAAAATCAACAAGATTCTGGCGGACATGGATAGAGGGAGGAAATGGAAGTCTGGAACCCTGTCCTTTAAGCAAACAAAATATTTATATTTATATATAAATATATATATTTATTTCAACTGATATAATATATATAATATACATAATTTGAATATTACATATTAATATTAATATAATATATATAATATACATAATTGAAATATACATATTATAAAACAAAATTGAAATACATATATTTATATAAATATATATAAATAAATATAAACTTTTATGATATTTATAAATAAACTTGTATGATTTTATTAATTTTTTTTTTGAAATAAATATATTTATATATATATTTATATTTACATAAATATATATGTAAATATATTTATAAATATATTTTAAACAAAATATATATTTTTATATATAATATTTATATATAAATATATATATAAATATATTTTTTGTATATTTGGAGTTATTTTTTATATATTGTTTGGATATAATATTTTTGGAGTTATTTTTGTTTGTGTATTACTGTAGCATTGTAAATGAAAAAATTATTTTTCAAAAAATACTGAATCCAAACAGACCCAATACTATTGTAGATATCCCTGAAAAAATTGCAAGCTAATTAAGTGAAGACATATAAATGTGTACCAGTAGAAGAATAATGCAAAGTCTTTCTTGCTCTCCTCATGTAACCCCACTAGATGCACCAGTAGTTACAGCAACTAACTGCACAACAACGCAATGTATTGCAAGTTTGCAACTACCACAGGCCTGGCTCCTTTGTTTTTTTTTTGACCGCCTGTCTCCCCGCCGTGCTGATTGGGCACGGTAGTGGACAGGCAGATTAAAAAGAAAAAATTGGAGCCGCTGCCGTACACAATCAGCACGATAAGTATAGTTTGAGACCCTGTCAGAGCTACATTTGACGGATTGTTTTTTTTTAACGTATATTTTGAGAAATTAGTCCCCACGAGAGCACCAAAAAGGACAAAATAAAAAAAAGGAGTAACTAACTGGGTTAGTAACTAGTAAGGAAATGCGTTGAACCTTCTTCTTTTCGTCCATTAATTTAACAAAATCTTTATTTTAGCCTTGTTTAGCAAGTAAATTTTTGGCAAAGTTTGTCTGCTATAAGTTTTTTTAATAACTTTAACTATAGTAATATCAAAAAATTTTTTAAAGTTTTTAAATTATATATTTCAAAATATTCAAACATTTACACCAAAAAAATTTTCTACAATTTCTACAGTAAATTATAATAAAATTTTAAATAAACATTCAAAAACTCATTTGCCAAACGGGGTCTTTATCTTATAGAATTAAGCTAAAACTCTATTTTATAATCCAATTCAGTACTTAAATTTAATGAATTCAAATTTTAATATGTTCAAACGAGTTTGATAATAAAAAATTAAACATCTGAATTAATTAAATAGCACTAAATTTTCTAGATTTAAATAAGTGATAAGCTATTCACTTATCACCAAATATAAATAAACCAAAATGCATTAGATTTAATATTTAACAATTCAATAATTAAATTGATTCAAATTTTAGATTTTAAATTTTAAATTTCAGTTTTCAAATTTCAATTTTATCAAACACACCCTAAAGCACTAGGTAGAAAAATTCCAAATTCTCAACTCAGTTTTACAATAGCTTTCAATTATTAGACTGGATTCAGAGTTTCCGTTGTTTTCAGAAAACCATTTTAAAATCTCAAGTCAAGTCACTCAATGACAACCATTCGGATGCAATTCTTGTTTCAGATTTCATAATCCCATAAGGTTTAGCCTCTATACATAGAAGAAAATGGAAAACCAGATTATGATTCAGCAGATTCCACATAGAAAAAAATACGGGATAGTCCACAATTTATACCTGGTTGTACTTTTCTGGGAATCTAGTCGAATAACATGATGAAGAATTCACCACTTAGTCGGAAAAAATGCAAACAGAAGTTCAGGGTGAAATTACAGTTCAACTAGAGATACATCTTAAAGTTTGGAAGCCATAGGTAAAACCACAAACAAATGCATGAGATTAAGATCTCAAAGTCAGTCATCTTGAAAATCCCGAAGGCCTAATTGTCCCTACTTAAGCAGTATACAACACTATCCACGCATCTTTGAACAGAGATAAGGTAGCAGATGTAAATAACAGATTTCAACATAAAACAAAGAAGCGAATGAGAGCTCAGTTATGGCCTTTGTTATCATCACTCTCCATCTCTTCTGCATCCTCAAACCGCTGATCATTTATTTGAAGCTGCAAAAAAAATTGACAAAACAGTTTTGTAAGAATTGAACTTTTAAAGGGAAAGAGTTGACATTTAAATTATCAACGATCTATGAGAGGATGAAATGGCCGACTAAGTAACCTCACAACCAAAAGGAAGCTCATTTCCTCTAGTTGGAAGCTCACCAACCCCCAAGGTCTCCCTTGCCCCCCCCCCCCCAAAACAACAAAAAAAAAACCCTCCAAAAAAAAAAGAACACAAAACACAATGTCGCACCACAAAGGAAAGCATAATGTCACACAAGGCTCCAAAAAAATGGAAAGGATGACCATCTGGAATAATCACAAATTTTATCTGTGGATACCTCTAACTCAAATTTGCATGGAATCCATCATGTATCTTAGGCAGCTTGCTCAGTTGAGTCTTTACAGTATTTACACTACTTCCCTATCTAAACTTCCTCTGTGCCAACCACCCTATGAGAAGTTGGAAATGACCTCATAGAACAATCAGAAATTTTACTTGTGACTACCCCTAACTCAAATTTGGCAAGGAATCCATCGTGAGTCCTGTGCATCTTGGTTTTTTGCGTCCTTGCAGTATTTACTCAAGTTCCCCATCTAAACCTCCCCTCGAGCCTAGGAAAATTTGGTCTATACTTAATTCAATAGTGAAAACAGAAATGGGCCAAATTTTTTGGAAGGTACATGCACATCATTAGACTTGACAGCAGAAATACCATTGACCAGCTTCTATGTTGAATTGTAAAAGTAACGGCTATTCATTAACATGTAAGTTAAAGGTAGGAAGAAAATCATTAGAGATACCTGAAGCACTGTATGCGCTAAGTCAGGATCCCCATTAGAACAACCAATTGAATGCAAGGGATATTCAGACTCCTCAACATCTACAGCAGTAGTGCAGCGATGAATGAGTAGAGAAAAAGAAATCCAGAGCAACAGTCAGGACAATCGGCTATCAAGAAAACACAAAAGACTAGAGCCAAACCTGCACCCCCAGTTTCTAGTTGATCTGCACTGAATACCCAATTATGCTCTCCTTCATCCTCTATAAAAAGCATCATTAGTACAAAAATGCAATAGTTATTTGAAAAGCAATAGTCAAAACGGCATCAACAGAAACAAAAATTATATACCAATCATAATTATAATTACCATCAACTGGTTCAGGATTAAGCTCAGCACATTCACAGAAAATCTCGAACAGAGTATCCACTGTTTAGAATATGACGAAAATCAAAAGCATAAGATACACAGGAAAAGCACAAAGAACTCGGAAGTCATAAATAAAACCATAAAACTAGGAACAGATGGCCTACATTGATCAGGATCTGATGGCACTAGTCTCATCTCAGTAACCTTTGACAAATCTAATGTCTCATTGCTCTCAGCATCAGAATCCTCTGATTCATCCTCCTCAACACCATTCTCAATCTGGAATCAAGGTAAAAATGTATACTTCATATCCTATAATCATCCGAATAGGGGAATTATTATGAGTGCAGAAAATTAATAGACATTCACAAGTAAAGCAAATATTCCAGAAAACTCAGTAGTACCAGAATCCTTTATCCCAAAGCATCTTTGACATATGACTTAGATGCCTATGATGGACAAACCTCTAGAGTTTAGATAATTACTCCCATACTAAATTTCACGATTAACTCAAACATCAAATGGATCAGCACTCGATTGAATGCTCAGCAATGGTTAGCCAAGTAACCGGAACCTCCAAAAATACCATCAGTACTGCCCCAGACTCAATCTCACTAAGCACATCGCCAAATCTCGCTTCCAAAAACAAACTTCTATTTTACAGGGTTTTTACATGAACGTGAATTAATAATCTAACAAGCAGCCGTATCAACAAAGGAGTTTTACAGCACCATTCACGAACTCCTAGTCTGGTTCTTTAATTGAATCAGGAATAAATAGTTATAAGCCCTAACAAGCTCAAACCTTAAACCCTAACAGTATCAACAAAAATAAAAAAAGATAATGGAGTAGTTAGCAATAGCTTCAACAAAAGGATGTCTCTACCTGAGTGTAAATACAAGGAGATGGATAAGCTTCTGGGTCTCGAGAAACGGCGTGAAGCGACACCGCTAAGAAACCCACCGCATAACCCCTACCTCTGTCAGTATCACTTAACCACACCACTTGCCTATACAATTTTTAAACATTTCATTCGCATTTCCATAAGCTGAAGATATATGTGAAGAAGAGAATTAGGGAAAGGACGGAATGATTAGTTACTTGGTGGAGATGTAGAGAGTTCCAGGGGATTCAGGCGGGCGGTTTCCGATGACGATCGAGACGCCAGATTGGACGTGCACGAGTTCCTCCCCGTTGTCGGTGTCGAGGACTGGTTGTCCGGCGCCGTCGCCGACTCTCTCCGTTACAAGTCTTAACCCCGTCGCCATCTTTATGCTCCGTTTGTGGTAATTCTTGTACAGGATGCTTCAGCGTTGTATTCTCAGGGTTTAGCAAAAAGTACCGGCAAAATCACTTATGCGGGGTGGGGGTTCCAGCAAACCTTGAAATTTAGGCTTTGTTTGGGAACCAATTTTTCAAGAAAAATAGCTACGTTTTTTGTCAACACATTTTTCAATTACCCTTTTACCTTACATATATCAAATCATTACATTAATTTTTCTACAAAAAATTTAGAAAAATGCAATTCAAACAAAGCCTTATGTTTTGCATGCGAAACATATCTCATATTTCGTCCAATGTATTTGTTTATCTTTTCACTATTAATTTTTATGTCCTTTGTAAAATCAAGTTGATTAAATTTAATTTTAATTTAAGTTTTTGAATACTTTTTAAACTACATACACCATGTGACAGACACGAGTCATTTTTGTAGGTGCAAAAAAGATTTTATTTGTAATTAAACAAATCACTCAATGAACATTCATTGTTGCTCTTAAGAAAAATTTGCAGTGAAACAAATTACCCAACCTACATTTATTTTTTCCTTAAAAAAGTGAGATTTGATCATTTTGCACCCAAGAAAAGATTATGTGTGGATTACGTGGTGGATTTAAACTAAAAAATGGTTAGAAATCTAGATTGGGACTAATTTTGACTAATTTAATTTGGTAAGGGACCTAAAATCAGCAAAACCCGGGACCTGATGGGATATGTGCAGTATTTTACCAGAAATTTTGGCATCTGGTAGGGGCAAGTATGGTGGACTTTGTCATGAAACCTTTCAAAATAAGACAATGCTGATAGAGGTGAATGGCACTCTGATTTCTTTAATTCCAAAGGTGGCAAACCCAACAAACATCACTCAATTTAGACCGATTTCACTTTGCAATGTTTCTTACAAAATAATAATGAAGATCTTGGTTGAGAGAATTCGTCCAATAATGGCAGAGCTAGTGGCCCCAGATCAATGTAGCTTTTTATTCTCGGAGGCAAATTAGCGATAATGCAATTATTGCGCAAGATATTATACATAGTATAAGAAGGAAACAAGGGAGAACAGGCTACATGGCAGTTAAAATTGATTTAGAGAAAGCCTATGACCATCTACTTTGGAGATGGTGAATTTTCCTAAGAGCCTCATTTCTCAGATCATGAACTGTGTACAGGCATCAAGCATGGAAGTTTTATGGAATGGAGAACGCATTGCACCTTTCATACCATCTAGAGGTCTCCGTTAAGGGGACCCCCTATCACCATATCTCTTTGTGCTTTGCATGGAAAAGGTTGGGGCATCTACTCAGTAGAGACGTCACGAAGGTTATTTGGAAACCTGGTAGGACTTCCAGAAGAGGTCCGGCAGTCTCTCGTCTTTTTTTTTGCGGATGGTCTCATACTTTTTACTGAAGCAAGCTTGCAACAAGCTAGAGTCTTACAAGGGGTATTGGAAAGATTTTGTGACTTGTCAGGACAAAAGGTCAGCATTGGGAAATCACGACTTTTTTGCTCAAAGAATGTGAAGTGGGACTTGGCAGACCAGATCAGGGATAGAACAGGAGTGAGCTTAACAAATAATCTGGGAAAATATCTTGGAATCCTGTTGTTACTTGTTACACTCTAGGGTAAACAGAAGAACATATGGTGAAATCTTGGAAAAGGTTCTCATAAGAGGTTACAGGGATGGAAGGGTAGGTGCCTCTCATACGCAGGCAGAGCTCTATTGGTCAAATCCGTTGTATCTACCATATCAATATATGCTATGCAAACTTCCTTGTTACCGGCTACTATTACTGCTGACATTGAGAAGAGAATAAGGAATTTCATTTGGGGAGAAGGAGAAAAAAGGAGAATGCACCTGATCAACTGGAATATGATTACACAGCCTAAGAATAGAGGGGGGCTGGGGGTTCAAAAATTGAAGAGAGTAAATAGAACCATGCTTGCAAAAACATGCTGGAGATTCTTAAAACAAAAAGTCGCCATATGGGCCAAAGTACTTGGGGGGAAGTATAGAGTCAACAACATGGCTTAAGGGTTGACAAAAAGTGGAAGCTAGTTTCACCAATTAGTGAAGCTATGTAAACCATACTAATTGCTGTAGACAACGATCAGAAGAAAGAAAAATCATACTAATACACGTAACATTTGCAACCCAAAGTTCCATACATTGAGAGTATAAAAGAAACTTTTACTTGAAGCTGAAAATTAAAATTCATAAAGAACTGAATATTCCTCTCATCCCACCAGATGTCTACACTTCAAAACTGTTAACCAAAAAAGCACTCCCTATGTGCCATAAATATTGAAGCATAAGGAGGTGGGGTTGGATATGTAACATTCCCAGCCACCACCTCCTACCTAACTATGACGCTCTGACAAAGAAAGTTAAGAATCAGCAATTGTAACTTCAACTTCTACACCAGGCTCAATAGTGATCGAGGTGATTTGCTTCACCACATCTGGAGAGCTGAAAAGGTCAATCACCCGCTTGTGAACTCGGAGCTCAAATGTATCCCAGGTGTTAGTTCCTGCAGGAAAAAGAAATATCAAGAAAATGAGTGTTCAATAAACATATATTCGAAATAGAAGGGTCAGTGATTAATATCCTCAAAAGCACATCATAGGCACAAGGGATCTTATTAAATTTAACAAAGGCATAGACTGCTCAACATTATTAACAATAAAAAAACACTTGAGCAATTTAGAACGTTCCTCAAAAGCACATCATAGGCACAAGGGATCTTGTTAAATTTCACAAAGACATAGACTGCTCAACATTAGTAACAATAAAAAAACAATTGAGCAATTTAGAACGTTGCCCCAACCCTTCCCTGTCCCCTCCAAAAAAAAATGGAACAAAGAAGAAACAGATAAATGCATGCATTATAATTAGAGGTGTCAAAATGGGTGACTTGGGCGGGTTTGGATCGGGTAAAATAGGTAATGGGTATAAGTGAGTCAACCCATTTATACCCATTTAATTAGATGGGTATAAATGGGTAAGTCAAAAAATGAATTGGATAACCCAATTACCCATTTATAACCCATTTATTTTAATTTTTTGTAAATTCATTTAAATTCATTTTTGCAAACTAAGTTATCAATTTATACCGCTCTTTGTACCCATCATTAGTTTTAAATATTTACTTATAATGTTCAATAAGCCTAATTACCAAATTTTTTTCAATTATACTCTATTTCACAAAATTACATATTATTTAATAATTGAATAATAAGAATATAAAAATTTGAACTAAGTACTATAAAAGTTAATATAAAAATTTAATCCAAAAATTTTTAACCCCTAACATTTTTTCCATATATAAATTTAAAATTTCATTTTAGAAAGATAAGAAAAGAGGCTCAAATTTATCATAAATTGGTAATGCCGAAAAATGAGCAAGTTAACAAACTAAGAGAAAACAAAATAATAAAATAAAACCAACAAATAATAATAATAATGAAACAAAAGTAGTTAACATAATGACAAAATGAAAAATTTGAAAAAAAAAATGGGTGGGAGAAAAGAAGAGATTTAGGGGAAGAGAATTTTAAATGGGTTAATTGGGTTTGATGGGTTACCCAATAATACCCATTTAATAAATGGGTATTATTGGGTAACCCATTTATACCCATATACAAAAATTTAAGATACCCATACCCATCTATTCATGGGCGGGTATAGGTAAATTTAGTTAAGTGGGTTGATTTGCCACCTCTAATTATAATCTTCTATCTCGAGGACGAAAAAATAATATAAACTAATTCCCCAGTCTCCTTGAATCAGTACAACAATGATACAAAACTAGAATCAAAGGACAATTCCCTCGGTAAAAAATGACTGGAAGCAACAGAAATGGCCAAATAGGTTCTAATAATAATGCAACATGATTCTGACGAACTAAAACCAAAGACTAATAACATCAGAGAAAAGTTCTTGTTATTTGATCCTGAAACATAACAGAACAAATCAAAAAGTTCAAGGCACCCTGTCTCTGTTTCCAAATACAATTATATTGCAGCTAAAAATCACAACTCCTCTGGTCACTTTTCAAGACTAAAAAAAGTCCAAAATTTTCTTCAGTATCCAAAGCTTAACAGCCAATATTTCATTCCCATATTCAATACCATGTCCTTCAAATTGACAATATACTAATGACATTTAAACAAAAACACATTTACCAATCGTCCACAGTTCGACAAATGTAACAAGAAAATAAAAATCAGCAACAACAATTACAATTAAACTTCAAATACTATAAGGTTATTAATCCTAACATCAACGTCAACAAATATTTGGTCTACAATACTCAAATGCCATAAAACAGCATTTTTCCTATTTTTTTCCCTGGATTCGAAGCGTTACACATCACATATTCATTCAAATGGCACAAATAAATAAGCAGAAATCAAGAAGTTACCTTCACCGCAAGGAGACTTCCTAGTAGTGATGTGAAGAACCTTGGTGGGCATTCTTACAGGTCCCTTCACCCTGAGTCGCTTATCCTTGGCCCCACGAACCAGATCAGAACAAACTACGCAAATATATATCCCAACAATACCCAAAAAGGAGAAAAGAAATTGAGATACAGGAATGTAGATAAATCAGCACAATTAGAACAGGCTACATATAAGATAAAACCAGATGTTCTGATGAACCCCAGGGTTTGTTAAAATAGGCTAGAGGGTTTTAATTAAAAGAAGAAGAAAAAAATTAACCTTTCTCGAGGTTCTTGACGTTTTTGGAGGAAAGTGTGATCCTAATCTTATGAACCTGCTCCTGAGGCTCCTCCATACCAACCTTTGTCGGCTTCACTGCTTGGTATGCCATTTTTTCAATAACCCTTTTGGCTGCTGCTTACCTTTTTCAAGCCCCAAAAAACAAATCAAAATTGTTGAAATGAATAAACCAAGCACTACCCTAGAACTATACTCGATAAGTCGGCAAAAAATTAAAATATATACCGCCAAACAAAGCATCCTCTAAGATCTAAAGGAGGAGAGACAAAGGAAGTACCCGAGGAAGAGGAGGCCGACAGAATGGTACTGCAGCGACGCTGGGCTTTGTTTCCTTCTTTGGTGGGAAGCGCTGTGGAAAACAAAACTAGGGTTTTT